CTGTTGAAGGTTTGCAAGCTGTGCGTCCAGACTTTGGATGAACGAACGAAACTGAAACACATTGTCAATATTTTCTGAGTGCAATGCTTCGTTCATAAGCTTTCGAAATAACGTTTGGGCCCTGTCAACTTCGCTCATCATACTCATGGGCGCCGAGAAGCGATCAATATCAACGCTAGGAAGAACTAGACGCATGTCAATGGCAAGTTGCGCAGAAAGCGTGACTCGTCCCATGTGACTCGTCCCAAGCAAGTGTCTTCGACAGCGGGTTAATATCGTCTTGTTGTCTCTTCAGTGTATAGATGCATTCGACTGAAGCAAACCTTCAACAGGCGCAGTTCTCAAACAGTATCACTGAAACCCTTACTTTTTACCGGGGAAACCGCATGCCACGTCATGATTTTGAGCAACTAAAACGAAATGTTAAAGGTTTGGTCTTAATGAACTCATTCTTTTCAACAACACTCTTTCGAAATGTGGCCGAAATGTTCTGCGGCGACAATGCGGCGCGTCCACAATTTGAACTCGTTCTCTTCGAAAGTACCGTTAATCCACATATTAGTGGTTCTGTACCCTTTGCGGACATCACTCGTTATAGTTATGTTCAAGATGAAACTGAAATTCTTTTTTCGATCGGCGCAGTCTTTCGTATTCTGTCCGTCGAACAACTAGATGATTCGAATCAAATACATTATGTCAGATTGGAACTGTGCACAGAGAACGAATTGGAGGAACTGTACACATTTTTTGCGGAGTCGATCAATTCAGAAGAGGTATCATTGCTCACATTTGGTCTTGTTCTTCGTCTGTTTGGTGGTCACAAACGAGCGAAAGAATATTGCCAGCGTCTACCGGGGAGCTCTGCTCAGCACAATGTAAATGTCGCCTACCTTCACCATAATATGGGTGTCGCCCATGCATGCGTAGGTGAATACAATGAGGCGCTAGCGCAAGATTTAAAGGCACTTCAATATAACAAACCGGAAGCAAAAGACGGGCTGTTGTTGATCCTATCATCAATCGCACAGACTTATCAAGAGCTTGGTAATTCCAAACTAGCAGAACTATACTACAATGCGGCCATGATGACTTTAGTCAAATACATTGTTTCATTTAATCCTTTACACCCTTTCATACCACTCATCTGTATTAAAATGAGCTGGTTCTATGCGAAAACCAGTTATCCAGAAAAGGCACTTAAGATGTATCAAAAGGGGATGGAAATATATAGCCGCATATTGTCGAGGGACCATCCGGATATGAGTGTAGTGTACAACAACATTTATAAAGTAGATGACAAAATAATGACAATTCATAGTAAATTAGCAGAAAATAAAGTACTACTGGATGCAATGTGTAAATATACGAAGCAGACTGCAGACACTTTAAATTTTTTAAAAGCTGAATTAGATGAAAAGATAGCATAAATTAATCGTGAATTAGAACAATTTAAAAATTCATCCAGTCGACAATCATCGACAGTTGATAATCCAACAGAGTAAATCTTAAATTGTCTCCGTTTGATAAAGAAATATGTGAATGTAAAGCAGATATGGATAAAAGAATGAATCATTCGGAACAATATGATCGCAGGACAAATCTACGTTTTCTCGGGATTGATGAAACGGAAAATGAAAATACAAATGAAATAATACTACAGACTGCTGAGTGTCTTAAGATACCAGTCTACGAAATTGATATATCACGAAATCATCCGGTTGGAAAATATAATCCTCAAACACCTACTCCTCGCCCGATAATCGTTCGCTTCACGTCTTATCGTCCACATGAATTATTTTATAAAAATCGTAAATATCTTAATGAAACAGATTACTACTATATTACAGTACGCGCAGGTCCTACGAGAGAAAATCTAAATTTATTACGACGTT